CCTTCTCTCTCTCTCTCTTTGGCTGCAGCGTTGTTCTTCCCTCTCTGCTGGGGCTCTTCTTCTATCTTCTCAGGGGGCTCCTCCTGGGCTCTCGACCCACCCCTATTTATCTCAGTTACCCTCACGAGCCACAGCTGTTGCCCAACTAAGGACCCTGCAGCTGCAGCTCGTTTGGAGTAACTTAGACACACACAGATCTCACAGTACAACATATATTCAGGCCCCCACAGAAGACAATATATATTATACTGTAGATTACACTGATAATTAAACATACTTGTAAATTCACAGAAAACTTAAAGAGTAGTATAAAAAAAATAAAGTTGTATAAATTATTATTTGTAAATAAAGGCTAACAGGCATGTGCAAGAACAGCATAAACTTGACATTCAACTGTTGCCAAAACTGATGTGCTGAGCTGATGTTTTTCTGAAATCCCATTGTGTTGAGTTTAAAAAGTTCACTGCAAAAGGGCTGGGTGAGAACAGAACTTGTTGGGTCAGATGCATGTTTGTCCATTGCTTCACCCTCTTAATGCATCCTCTCCTGCCCAGCATTACTTTTGAAGCAGAAAATTCACTACTCTAAGACAAACAAGCAAATCTTAATTTTCCTTCTCATTAGCCAATCTTAAGATGTGAAGACTAAGGCCAATGAGTAGAGGTAATGCAGCAGAGAAAAATGCTGTGAAACCTGAAGGTGTTTCAAAATATTCTCAGATGTGCATAAGACAGTAAAGAAGAGATTCTTCTACCTCTGTCTCAGTGCTGTCTTCAGAAAGTGGGCTGGGAAGGTAATGTAGAAGATGGCAGGCAGAGCAGGGAGGAGACCTTGTACTAAGTTAAGCCTCTGGAAATCAATGGGTTGTTGCTGCTATGTCAAAGACTGTAAACATCTGCTTTTTCTGGCAGTGTCGGTTTCGTGATGCCAAGTTCCCCCAGTACCAGAACGTAACACAGCTGAGGCTCAGTGTGCTGCATGCTCCTACTCACACAGCCTCTGCAGAAATGTTGCAATAAAGCTTTGGTCAGTTTTTCAGCTGTGCTAATTTCAACTGTGCAGCCTGAAACATATCCTTCCTGGTTCTGTATCCAGGAAGACATAAATTATGTTTATGCTACCTGTGGTTTGTTCAAGTCATCCAATGAATCTGCATTAGCTGTATCCAAGGTCAGCACCAGGCACATTTTATCTTGTTAAAAAAATCTGAGCTAAATTTTGGATGTTTTAAGGGTGTCAGTCCACAAGTAGAGATATGGAAAGAAATTAGAAACAGAGATTCTGGTGTTTCAAGATCACAAACCAGGAATAGAAACCTCAGTTTGTAACCTCCCTATTTGCATCACTAAACAATCACTGCCTTTGCTCAAAACATGGAAAGTCCTCTTTGAACCTTTACACAAACCAAAAATAATTTTGTACATTCTGTACCCTAATGTAGCAGTGGAGGTCTGTAGGACTGGGCTACTTTAATTATAAAGAGGCAATTAATTACCCATAATCACATTGCCCCACAGAATACTCACTGAAAGAGGCTAAGGGCACCTTTCTGCAATGTTCATCTAAAACACAGGCTGCAGCTGTCCCCAGTGTGCCATCACATAGCAGTCTCCTATAGGAACCCATGCTAACAGGATGCATATGGAGGGGAAGGTAAAATATATATATTTAGCATACAAAGCACAGATGTGAACACACAATTAGTTCTTACTAATAAGCAGGAAGAAAGTAATTACAGACTTCTGTAGTGTTTTTTACCTTTAAAAAGATTCTCACTAACACATATATCAGCAAATGCTAACTAGAACTGGGGACCACCTATAATAAAATATATAATTAAGGCAGAAATGCCCTTTGCAGTTCCATAAACATTACTGCCCTTCTGAGATGTAAGATATGATCAACTGATGTGTTCCACTTTCTTATCTGGTTTTGAAGTACTGAAGTCTGTCACTGCATTTAACACAGTGCAGGCACAAGCATAACAAACCATCCCAGTCATTAGGGCTTGGCAACAAATGAGATGCAACGTAGTCAGTAGCAATGCAAGAACTCATCAATACACATTTGTGCTTTTGATCCCTACTCAACATCTGATATCACTATGTAGTTTTAGCTTCTTTTAAATCTTGGCAAGCAGATTTTACACCAGAAGGCTGCAGGGGAAGGGTCTGCAGTTAATCTCTCTCTCAACATGTTCTCCTCTCTGACTTCATAGCACCAGACATAGCTGGGGGTGCTTAACATTAAAGCTGTGGTGAATTCCTTTGCTGGCTCCTGTCTAGTGCTTTCTGCTGACAGCAAGGGCAAGTCTAATTGACTTTTCCTATTACCCAGATGCAGAAGAAGGAGACAAGGCAACAAAAAGAAACAGCATCTGGGGAAAATAAGGCAAAGCAATGATAAGAATAGCAAAGAATAATAACTGAGATTTTTAAACCTGGCAATAACAAGCCCCATAAGTAAAAATCCTGCTCTATAAGGACAAATAAGACATCACTTCAATTCCCCACTCCACTCCTGAAAAAAAAGGCAAGAGGATTTGCTGTCATTTGTTTAAGCTTTCTGATAGCACTCCAGGCACTTAGGAAAACAGCAGCATAAAAATAAATGAGTCACAAAAATGGATGTGGGAATGACAAATGCATGAGCTATTTTTCTCAAGTGACGCTTGCTTTCTACATTTCCTACATTCTGTGGAGAAGTTATTCACAGCTAGTGTTCCCAAGGCAGGAAGAGTTATGCTAGCTTGTTTTACGAACTCAAATTTTATGAGTTCAAATGGAAAATGCTGTATTGTTTGACTGAATGGCTTTTCATAAATTACACAGGCAGGAAAAGGGGGTGTTCTAGTTGGGTGGTTTTTATTTCACATACATAATGGTTTGCCATTTTGCCTTGTATTTATAATTTGTTTTGGTTTTTTTTTTTTAATTTTGCAATGTATTAAAATTTAGACTATTAAGAACATTATAATTTTACTTTAGAAAGCTGCACTTTCATTTTTGTTTTAGATAATAAGAGGAAAATATTCCAAAAATACAGTTGTGAATGTTCTTGATAAGAATTAAGTGCAGATCTGCCTCCCCAGATCCCAGCATTAGCAACAAAACCACATATAAATATGTATATTTTTGTTCATATGATATCCTTTAAGGGAAAAAATAAAAGAGAACTTGAATTATTTAGTCATACTAAGTGCCTTTCTGTTGTATATGCTTTTATTTTGCATGCAAACGGAGAAAGGCAGAAGTGAAAAGGAAGCAAATAATTAGTAGAGAATAGGAGGAAAAACTATTGTTGTCTGTAGTATGGAGAAAACTCCCAACCTGCAGTTTTACTCTTGACCTTCAACTAAATTTAAATCACTAGTTTAAAATAATTTTAGAACAAAAGTCCAAATATGAATCAACTGATTAATTTGTGAAACAAATTATCACTCCTTGCAAGTTGAATCATGTAATAATTTTAACTGCTTTTGTTTTCTTTTCAGCTGGACCACAATGTCAAAATCAGCAACTCCTCAACTCTCTGTTTTCTCCACCCAGAGAAATATCTAAACTTCCATATCATTACACTGTTCTTTCCACCACTGCAGTACACACTGCAAGGGAAATGATACTAACAGCCCTCCTCTGGGAGCCAAACTCAGGAAACCAACTTCTTTTCACCAATGAAATGCACAAGAACAGCCATGTATTTCTGTGTCATGATCTGAAAAAAAGCTCTCTGGGCTGGGGAGGGAACCTCGTGAGCTGGCTCATCAGTATCATGGAGCACAAAGATATAGAGTGTCATGCGCTCCTAAACAGATGAAGTGATGAACCACAAGAAAGATGCTAAAGCAGAAAATACAGTGCAATGCTGAAAACTATTTTTTAAAGGAGAATGTTAAAGTTTTCAAAGGGAAATAAGAACTATGGCTTCCTACACATCTTTTCAAACACCACCCCCACTGAGGGGACATTTGACTGTTTGGATTCTTTTGTTCCTCAGACCATCCATGACTAGCAATGTGTTCAGTTCTCTTGTGCATGACAACAGATATATTCTGGGTATTCCCATATTTAAAGCACTGTAAGTTTCTCACAGCCATGATTTTGCATTCATGTTAATAACTATGTTTTTTTTCTAGATCAGTGTCTTCCTGTCTTCATGAACAGGCACCAAATTGAGCATCTTTCCCAACACATACATGACTTGAGTTTCTTTTGGTCTCTTAGTCCATAGCCAGGCTACGCTCTGACAAAGACCATTTTCTTTCAAACTGTGCTAGGGCTTGCAGCATAAATTTAAAAGCTTTAATCACAAAATGGTTTAGATGGGAAGGAATCTTAAAGATCATCTAGTTTTAACCTCTTGCAATGGTCAGGGACACCTCCTGCTACATCAGGTTCTCCTAGGCTACCCCTTGTCATCTCACTACACTCCCTGAGGAGGAGTTCCTCCCCCTCTTTCCCATAGCCCCTTTAAGGCCAAGGGCAACAACAGTACACTTCATAACATACTGGAGCAGCTGCAACACAGGACTAAAATAGTTTATTCCTGTCAGACTGTAGATGGCTGAAGTTGCCAACAGCATTTGCCACAGCATCTTAATGAAGGAGATCTAAGCAAGGAATACAGAGATGGTTTTGTTTCAGCAGTGGAGCTCAAAAGATTTTGCCCTGATGCGATGCATCTTGTGTGCATGTACAAAAATCATTATGAATAAAATGCCTTCACAGATGGCTCCTAAATTCTTGCCATGTTTGTCAGATCTGCTGGCCTCTTTCAAGAATCCAGCTACACCCTCACCGTGTTTACGAAACTGAGCAGTCACATAACTCATTCTACATAACAGAGGTGGAGATACAGAAAAACAAACCATAGAAGAATAATTAGCATTCATTAAACTTTAGTTTTCTTCCTTGTTCTAAATCAGGTTTTTTTAACCCAAGCCATCAACAGAGCACATAACCTGGGATTATCGCATTGGAAATTCCTAAATCCTGGTCATCTTAGAGTTCATGCAGTTCGTATCAAACTAAAAGCTCCTCAAAGGCCACTGATGCTGCTCATGTCCCTGGGCCAGGTGGCCTTGTGGCCCACTGCAGGAGGCTTTAGGTGCTTGGATCAGAGGCCATGCAGGAAAGAAAGCCCTGGTTACACAGAGCTGCATCCCATGCAGTGACATGTGTGACTGCTTCCTTCCATTCCTATGGGAAAGATGTTTTAGGCAACTTGATTCTGAAACAATGAGACATGCAGACTTGAGCTTGAAAGGAAGATTTTCAAGAATAAGGGAACGTTTTTTACTGTCTAGACAATGTCAGTACAGGGAATACCACAAACATTGCTCTGTTACTGAATATGAAGGCATTCCAGCTCTGTTTTACTTCTTGTGAATATAACAGTTTATGACAATGAGCTATTTTTCCTTTGAGGAGAAAATGCAAATGGGGACAAAAGCCTTAAATAGGAAATGTTTAGATAATTTGGCAAATGGCAGCAGTACTTGAACAACTAAAACATACTCACATGCTCCTGGTTTATCAAATAAAAGACCTCTAATATATGTCAGGAGTGCCAAAATCACATTCACTTAGACTTGGAAGGATGCAGCTCAATCAAACTGTATAAACTGAGTGTGACACCTGTTTAAGAACAGCTTCAGTCAGTTTTCTCTTTCCTTTCTCTCTGAAGAGCAGAGACAAACCGAACTTAGTATCAGGAGAGAAAACATATAAAACCTGCAATAAGTTATAATCTTAAAATTTAATTATTTTCTCCTTGAAACAAAGAGAAAGAAAAAAATGGACATCAGATGTTTCTCAAAAGGAACAAACATTTCATTACTAAAAATCTCATTTTGCCAAAAAGAGAGGAAAGGTATTCCAGGTTTTTTTTCAGCAAGTCAAACATTTATAATAAATAAAAATGACTTTAAATACTTAAAATTTTCATGGTAAAATAAAGAGATAGAAGAAACAGGTTTGAAAAAGTATGTAGTAAGCCACTAAACCTGAATGTCAGCAGTTAAATACAAAGACAAGTTTATACAATTAGCATAAATTTGAAATATTATTAGAAGAATCAAGAGCTCCTGTCAGCAAAAGGAAAAATTTTTCCTTGGAAAAATTTATACCATAGCCTGCTTTAAAAGGCTTTATCTTAAAAAAAAAGAAAACCCAAAACAATTTTTTCACTATAATTTATAGGCCTGTGTAGAGGTCTATACCATCTACTGCTACAACCAGACTACTTACAGCATTTATACTAAACTAGATATTTCTAGCTCACATCTTATGAAGAAAAACTGCCATAAATGTCTCTCTAGACACCAAAAAGCTTAACTCTCTAGAATTCAGTGAATATACTGTAGTCTAATAAAACAAGAGTTAAAGAGAAAATATGTTAAGGGTTGTTTCTGAAAGGAGTGCATAAAAGACAATATCTGTTTTAGATAAAATACAGCATTACTAAGAAAATTATTTTAAGAGATACAAATTATTTCATTAATCAATAAATTGCATTTTCTCTTATGGAACTAATCTTTGATGGCATCCATGTCATAAAATAACAGTTACTTTATAAACAACGTTTTTGCCTGATATCTCTTCCAATGCAGATCAGTATGCAGAAAGCTGATCTAAAAATCATATTTCCTTTTATGAACTGTTATGAAAAAAAGGTGTAATAGACTTTGGACATAGAAAGGTATTTGGATAATTACTGAAAGATAAAAACCAACAAAACAAAGTACAAAAATGCGTGTGGAAAAATCTGAAAAGGAAATAATAGCCAGCTGGTATTTATAGTGGGAGAAGTGGGCTGAGCTTTAAAGGAGATGGGCTTTCAGTTGCCATAGACCTTGGTACCAAAGCACAAAAGCCAGTGCTGAAAGCCACGTAAGCACACTGCAATTATTGCTGCTACTGGAAGGAGCAAGAGGTACCAACAGAAAGAGGACATTTACTGCAGGAAAAGCTCAGGGTGGCAAAGATCAGGTAATTTGCAGAAGTTGTTCAGAACCACCTGCAGAAACTCCTTTCTGAAGCACTATTTGTTATCAACCAGCTCGTTTTAGAGGAATATAGTTTGCTTCCTTGGGAAGAAACACTTAGGCTACAACTCCCTGAAAGGTGGCTGTATTCAGGTCGGGTTGGTCTTTTTCTCCAGGCAGCAGCTGACAGAGCCAGAGGACACAGTCTTAAGCTGCACCAAGGGAAATACAGGCTGGATATTAGGAAAACATTTTTTATGGAAAGAGTGATAAAGTACTGAATGGTCTGCCCAGGGAGGTAGTGTAGCATCCCTGGATGTGTTTCAAAAAAGACTGGATGTGGCACTTGGGTGCTGTGGTTTAGTTGAGGTGTTAGGGCTGGGTTGGACTCAATGATCTTGAAGATCTCTTCCAACCTGATCATTCTGTATCTTAATGTCTGCTCTCTTGCAAGACAGACAGCATCAGAAAATAGCATCCAAGGGGGAGTCAGCAGAGATTCTGGAGCCTCTTTGGACTCTTGCTTATTCTGAATATATTTTTAGAATTGGGAATCATACCGTCACTTTAAAAAAAAAAAAAAAACCAAACAAAACCCAAACAGAACTGTTTTTATCATTTCTGACCAAAGATTAAATAGGGCTTAACAAATTCTTTAAAAAAAGTCATTATTGTACTGACTGACTGCCCAATTGTTTGTGGCCCTAAAACTTCCCTTACTGATAAAATATTACAGGAAACTTTGCTGGTGGAACTACCCTCTTGTCACAGCTCAAGATGAAAACACTGGGAGAAAATAAGGTGCTACATGTCTGACTTTAAGTTAAAAATGCATACAAATCTAAACACTTTTATCCTCACAGTGAGACGAAACCTAAAGATCAGAGAACATACTTTAGAAAATGCCATGACCGAACCCAGAGAGGAAACCTCGCCCTTCAGTTTGATCACCAAATGAGTAAAAAACATGAGACACTTACGGCAAGTATTCTTCTAATACATGCTGTTAGATGGAGCCAGAGCATCAACACACCCAAATCCACTCCTTAAATGTGTGTTTTTAGCCTCAGAAGAATTGTATCTGAAATATAGTCTGTACAGAGTATTGCCACATTTTGGTGAATTGTGAAAGCAAAAAAGACAACATAATTTCTAGGGTTATTTTCGTGCTCATACCAATTTTATAGCATGTAACAGAACACAAGGGTGAATCAAAGCTTAGTTTGCCAATCCTGCCCATCTCCTTTATTTTTTCCTTAGTGCTGTCTTTGTCCATCTGCTTCACCATCCAGGGACAGTGACCCTCTGATTGCAAAGGGTGTTCCTGGGGGACAGAGCAGTAAGGTTTTAACTGTGCCATGAAGATCTGGTTTTTAGCAAATAAAAACCTATGTGTCTTTGCTTCTTTGGAAAAGAAGGAGAGCTGGAGAGCTATGATGTTTCCGGCAAGGTTGAAAACTCATAAGTAAAAGCAGAAAAAATTAGAGTGAGACAGTAAAAGAGCTACAAGGATCTTATTTCAGAAGAGGAACTGGGGGAATCTGAGAAGAAAGAACATTTACCTTCATAGCTCAGAGACAGCTCTTCAGTTGTGCACACCACAGATTTTATTCAAGCTTGAACAGTTTCAGCTAGGTTTACAACTTCCAGCCTTCATTGTGATGCTCTAGAAGTCACATTTTTATTCAGGTCAAACCACAGACCACGCATGCTTTTTAAAGTTCCTGTTCATTAGAAATAAGCCATAAGGCAACCTCTTCTCCTACTACAGCTTCTTCAGAGCAGAACAATGCCCACGCTTTCTGCAGAGACTTCCTGGCAGAGGCTATGGACAGTACAGAGAGAGTAAAAGACCTGCTAGGACAACCATTGCAGGCTGGGCAAGACAGACGTGGGTGCTATTGGAAGAAGTGGGTCTCAGATTATAACTATTACTCACACAATAGGAAAAACAGCCTTATTACTAAATGATTTTGATTTTTTACAGATAAGTTTGCTTTATGTGTGAAGCAACAAAGCCTGGATTTTTTTAAAATCAAGTCCACACATAGAAGACCTGGTAACAAATCAGGAATCCCATTTTCACAAAATATCAGTGAAAACTTCAGACCATGAGATTCATATATCATTATATATCATAAAATTGAAAAAAATTACCAGATATCTATAAATTTGGAAAATTTATTAGCCATAAAGTGGCTAGTGCCAGCTAACTGTGCTCCTGCCTCAAGGACTGAACCAAGTGGAAAACACAAGCTGTGGTACAAAGTCTAGTTATTTCATGTCTGTTCAACAGGAAGTTGCTTTTACTTCATCTGAAGAAGGTAGCTTAGATGAAGAGTAATTTTGGCTACAGGAAGCTACAGGAAACTACAGGAAGCTACCGTTCTGATACGGTAATATCCGAGAGATAACTAGGTTTTCTCTGTTAGCTCTGCAGCTCTTAAGCAAGAGGTATGTTTTGGTATGATGTGATTAAAGAAGTGTGCAGTAGTCTAAGGAGTCAGGTTCTTTTTGGCAAGGCACCAACTTCTTAGGCAATTCTTAACAACCACCATAAACACTCTGTTAAAGGATATCCTTTGAGCAACACTAATAATTTCCTGTATATAAGCACATAGCATTAATGGCAAGATACACACTGATGGATTACACAATGCATATATTCAATCTTACCTTTTAGGCTTGGAGTCTGGCAAAAATGGGAGCTGCTAACCACTACATAATGTTGACTTCAATACTACTCCTGCAAAA